GGGGGCGGCGGGAAGCCGCGGCCAGCACATCCCTTGCCCGCGCAACTTCTCGCCGCCCCCATTGGCCCGGGAAGGTGAACCGCGGCCAGTGGGGGCCGTGATTGGCCGAACCTGCCGCGTCAGCAGGTAAATAAACTGGCCCGGCCCGCTAAGGTGCTTACCCTGGCGAGCCACGTGCCAAACGCTGCCGACCCCTGATCTAGTCTGACCCTCCTGTATAACACAGGCTCTTAAATTTCACCGAATTATCCTGTATCGAGTGCAATAAATTATGTTTAGCTTAAGCATATCTTCCAGAAAGACATCCAGTCTTGGTCTAAAGACATCAAGCGTTGGAGAATCCACCAGTGCCCTGGGGTGTCACAGTTAAAAATGTGCACATTATTTCTAATTTGAGTTTGTTTGGCTTCAGCTTCCAGCCACTGGTTCTTGTTATGCCTTTCTCCACTAGATTAAAGAGCCCTTTAATACGTGGTATTTTCTCCTTTCAATCTTTTTTTGATAAATTGAACATATTGAGCTCTTTAAGACTCTCACTGCAAGGCATTTTCTCCAGCCCTCAAATCATTTTTGTGGTTCTTCTCTGCATCCTCTCCAACTTCTCAACATTCCTTTCAAAAATGTGGACACCAGCACTGTATGCAGTACTGAGACTGATACTGGACCAGTGCAATACACAGGGGTAAAATTGCCTCCATATTCCTACTCACAGCTCTAGCATCGGACTGAAAGCTCACATTGACTTGCTTGTCCATTATGACCCCTAAATCCTTTTCAGAGTTGCTGCTTTCCAGTCTACAACCTCCCATCCTGTAGGCATGGCCTGCATTCCTTGTTCCCAGATACTTAAATTTATTTTATTTGGCTGTATAAAAACACATTTTGTTTGAATGGGCCCAGCTTACCTAGTGATTCAGATGGGTCCGTGTAACTGCCCCGTTCTCATCATTTTTACCATTCTTCCGATCTGTATCATCTGCACATTTTATCAGCAGCGATTTTATATTTACTTTCAGATCATTGATGAAAATGCTGAATAACGTAGTGCCTAGTACTTATCCTTGAGTGACTCAAGAAACACACCTATTCAATTATGATTCCCCATTGGCGATCATTTTTTTCATTTAATGTATAAAAAACAGCATAATACAATATCAATAGTCATAATGTTGTGTGGTACTAAGTCAAATACCTCATTAAAGTCTAAGTACATTAATGTGCGCAGTTGCCTTTATCAACCAAATGTGTAATCTCCTCAAAGAATGAGATCAGGTTTGTTTGACAATGCCTATTTTCCATAAAAGCATATTGACTGGCGTTAATTGTCATAATACACTTCATGTTATATAGTGCTTTTCGTCAAAGAAAAAGACGGTTAAGATTTCATCAAGACTTGCTGGTAAAGCAGAAATATTTTCAAGCAAAGTTGCAGTTTCTAAATTTGAGTGAAAGACTGAAAATTATTCTGTTTTCAACAATTGAAAACCAATGCATTTTTGCTTTTTTTAAACAGAGCCTGAAAATATTTAAAAAAAAAATCAGTTTATTTGAAAATAAAATACATCATTGAACAGTTCTGCATCTGAGGACTCCAAAAGTGATACTTCTAACAATAATTAAATCTAAAGACCTAGGGAAGAATTATTATCCTCTATTTTACAGATGGAGGGAACTAAGACAAAGGAAAGGGGAATTATTTGCCCAAATACCTGTAAAGGGAGACTAATCACCACTAGGGGGGGCACAGAGTGCCGCTGTGAGTAGATTACACTAGTATTGCTGAAAGCTCTCTTGACTCGGAGTCTTTTGTTTGGTGATAGCATTACTCTCCTTATTCTCCCAGGAAAAAACGAACAAACAAGGATTCTTCCAAAAAAATTGAAATGGCCCTTTAAAGAGCTCTTTCTGAAATAATTACCTTCTTAAAAAAGAAGCCCCAAAAAGGTAAACTAGTCTTGGCCAGGGTAGGACTTGGAACAGAAGTAGTTTCCAAGCAGGAAACTCTTCTCCGACTCTTTAAAGAGAAAGATGAAGGGAAAACTTTTTAACCTGCCAAATCCTTTCGTTCAAGATTTTCTGCTTCTCTGAGCACAGATGGTGGCATCAGTGATACCTATGGCTCCAGCCCTGCAAGTTTTTAGGCACAGCAGAGCCCTATGCTCACGTGGAAGCCCAGTGACCGTGGCATCTGCCCCCATAGGTCCTAGAATCACATCATTTTAGTAGGAGACATAGAAAGATATAGAGGGGGAAATCGACACGTCTCATTGATGGTCAATGGGAACTGGAGGCCTAATTCCCCCTTGTGCCTTGAAAATTAGTGCTGCCCATGCAGTGCCCAGAGCCAAGTTACACTGAGTGAATCCAATAAGACAGAGGTGGGCAAACTACGGAGTCCCGGGGGACCTGCCAGGGGCAGGGGTGTGGATAGGGGTCAGGAGATGGGGAACATGGGGGTTTGGATAGGCGTGGGGTCCTGCGGGGCCTGTCAGGGGGTGGGGTTGCATAGAGGGCAGGGCAGTCAGGGGACTGGGAGCGGGGGGTTGGATAGGGGGTGGGGTCCCAGGAGGGGGCAGTTAGGGGACAAGGAGTGGGGGGGGGGAGGGTTGGATAGGTCAGAGGTTCTTAGGGGGGCAGTCAGGGGGCAGGAAGTGGGAGGGGGCAGATAGGGGGCTGGGGCCAGGCTGTTTGGGGAGGCACAGCCTTCCCTACCTGCCCCTCCATACAGTTTTGCAACCCCAATGTGGCCCTCGGGCCAAAAAGTTTGCCCACCCCTGCAATAAGAGATGTTCTTTCACTGCCACCATTCCAATTTGGCAAGATTTCCAGCCCTTTCCACAGGTGGAAGTAGCGCTGCCAACCCCAAGTGTTCAAACGCCATCAGTCAGTGTCATGTTTTTATGGGACCTGGTTTAAAAGTTATGAAGTTTTAAGAACAAAGAGGAGTCCCGGTGGCACCTTAAAGACTAACAGATTTATTTGGGCATAAGCTTTCATGGGTAAAAAAAAAAACACTTCTTCAGATGTAACAGAAGTTTTAAGGAAAGTCTTTTCCTTAGCCTGCCTTTCCTAGCCTAAAGGGTTAATGATTTCAATCTTTTCTATATAATCTTGACACTTAGAAACCATTTTTTAAACATGGAAGTAGAAACTCTGACCTAATCACATAGCTCTGGGACCTGAACTTTAAGAAAAACACCAAATATCATGATAATGGGCATCACTATGTACATGACAACACAAGGTGAAAGTCAGCTGGGAATCAGGCCCTTAAAAGTCTCTCTTACTGCCCTTTGAGTAAAACTCCCTGCCATTCAAATTCTCCCAGCAGGCTGTCTTATAAACCATCGCAACTGATTTCAACGGCGTTACACTCGGCACTAGCATAAGGAAGTGATGTCGCCGTTCAGAATCGGGTTTCAATCTCACTCTCACTGACGTCCCTGAGAGTTGTATTGGTCACTTCAGTGAAAGCAAAACTGGAGAGGAGGGAGGAGCTTCGTAATTGCTGTGGGGAAAAAACAAAACCAACCCCCGACCCCAAGGGATTTCTCAAGAGTCGTGACCGCTGGGGGCACAGAGCCCAGTTCCTCTCTCCCTTACGTGCATGGCAATCAGGGGTCACCTCCAGGCAGCCAAAGGAAATGTCTGCAAAACCGGGGGGGGGGGGCAGAAAATCAAGCCCCCATGCTTCAAGCCTTGTATTCACTCAGCACAGCGCAGGCAGCTCCCCCAGGCCCAGCAAAGAAGGGCTGTTCTCTCTCTCTCCCTCTCGCACCCCGGGTCACAGCCTGCTGCCGCCCCACGTTTCACTCCGCGTCTCACCTGCCTCTCCGGGCTGCAGCAGCTGGTGTGGGCTCGTGCCACTGGGCGTGGGGACAGGGCTTGCCGTAAAGCAGAGGGCGGTCGCGAAAGCTAGGCATTGCTGCAAAGCAGCTGGGGGGGGGGGGAGGGAGTGGCCGGCGGCTGGGGTCGTCATAGCAACGCAGGCCGAGTGTAACCATTGCCTGTTGCATGCCTGAGGCTGTTTGACCTCTTTTGGGGGCACTTTGACTGGTTACAGCTCAAATTGAAAAATCAGCGACCCTGGCAAGGGTGGACCATGGGTTAGACTTCTGCAGCAGGGCATGCAATTGACTCTGTGTTAACCCTTTACTGTTATCCACAGAAGTTTGCATCCAGGGCTGGCTATCAAAGACCCCCCCCCAAGTTTGGGAGTGTTCATCTCTGGGAGTTTAGACACACCGCTTTGAAAGTGCTGGCTTGTGTTTACGTACAGTAGAGTCCTCAGGTTAAATTTATGGCTGAGGCAATGTGCTCACTACCCGCACTTCCTTTTCGAGCTCATAAAGATCCACTTTGGTTCTCAACCTTTCCGGACTACTCTCTCTTTCAGGAGTCAGATTTGTCTTGCATACCCCAAGTTTCACCTCTCTTAGAACTTATTTGCTTACAAAATCAGACATAAAAATAGTGTCATAGCACACTATTACTGAAAAATTGCTTATGTTCTCGTTTTTGCCACATAATTACAAAATAAATCAGAATATAACTATTGTACTTTCCTGTCAGTGCATAATATACAGAGTAGTATAAACAAGCCATTGTCTTTATGAAATTTTAGTTTGTACTGACTTTGCTAGTGCTTTTTATGTAGCCTGTTATAAAACTAGGCAAATATCAAGATGAGTCAATGTACCCCCTGGAAGACATCTGTGTACCCCTGTTGAGACCCACTGTTATAGAAACAGAGTGAGTGAGGTAATATCTCCAACTACACTGCATGCAGTATTGGTAAATTATTGCATTAACAAACAACGTGAATTATTATTCAAACTTGGAGCTGGGAGATAGGTTGTCATCAAAACAAGGAAAATGGCTTTTCAGCCAAAATGAATAGTTTGCAGAAAGGTTTGCATGGTATTTTGGCTGAAAATTTCAACATTTTTCAATAAGAAACTGAAAGACAATTTGGTTTTAAAATACCAAAATGTGTTTTTCCCCTTCCTTTTCGGTGGAGTTGGGTGGGGCAGGAGAATGAAGGAGGAAAAGGAAAAGGAAAGAAAAGGAGTGGGAGATTCTGAAAATTTCTGTTTTCCAAAAAACAAAATTTTGTGTTTTGGTTTTCATTTTATTGGGATTTTTTTAAATCCACCTAAAGATAAATGAAAATGAAAATATTTTGTTTTATTGTAAAATTTTATTTGTGGAAAATATAGAGCATTTTTCAACCAGACCTATTCAGACTTTTCTTTTTGCAGGTCAGAAGTTCTGTGTTTCACTTGCAATAATTTAGGCTCCCTGAGTGAAATCCTGGCTCTACTGGGAAAAAAAATCAATGGCAAAAGTCCTATTGACTTTGATGGGACCAGAATGTCACCCTCTGATTTTCTGTAAATATCGCCAAGACAAAAAGAAAGGCCTGATTCATCTCACACAAAGCTTCTCCAAACAGGCTAACACAACTTTTTCCCCCAAATGTGCTGGCATCTCAAGGTTTCCGTTAAACCTTTGACACATGTATGGTTCGATACTACTATATCTCTGGGGAAGAAAAACCAGAAGCAGCTGTTGAATTGCTCATTGGTGCCAACTGGAAAAGTTGCCTGTTCACATACGCTCTGGAGTCTGGACAGCTGTGCAAACTGTATCCAGTACAGATGCAAAGAGCAAGCAGTTATTTAAGGAGTGTGTGTGTGTGTGTGTGTGTGTGTGTGTGTGGTGGTGGTGTGTGTGTGTGGGGGGGGGGCTCTGAAACTGATGCATTCTGGGAAGAAGAATCCCTCTGAACAGCTCCTTTCTCCTAAGTCACAAAGAAGATCAAACAGGCTTGTTAGGAGGAGGTTAAATTTAAGTAAATAAATAAAGAATAGGCTCCTGTCAGCACAAAATAACCACAAAAATGTTATGAGAGTAGCACACGTTAATAAGGGATATATTTCCACAATGTTTGCAGAAATGAATCTCATTACCATTGAAAGCAGGACCTCTCATATTGCAACCTAGAGTTGGCCCTGGGTTTGCTGATATGAGTAATACAAAAATGCTACAGAGATGTGCATGGTGCTTTAAAAGAAAAATGTTGATAAGTCCCTGTCCTGAGGATTCAACAGCTGAAGGGCCAGATCCTTTAATCCTTACTCGTGTAATTAAGGCCTTAATTGCACAACCATCAAACTGAAGCCATGGACACCCCACCCCTTCCTTGGAGATGTGCCTACAATTAGTGTAGCCCCAACTTTTACAGGTTGTGCAATGAAAAGAGAACTTCACATCTTGGAAATACTCTAGCTATTTTGTCTGCAACATAAATGGAACTCTGAAGCTCCAGGAGGCCACACATTTGTTACAGTCGTTTAGGCTCAGAAAAAAAAAAGTATGTTATTCCGACTTCAATTAGGAGGAAGTGAATTTCCATGGGTTCATTCCACCCATATGTGTTTCAGTGCAGAAACTCCAAATGCTTTCTTGCAAAAGGATCTATATAGGTTCTTATATACCCCTCATCACCTTAGTATCTTTATTAGGAATTCATTAAATGATGTGACTAACATCTATCCTGTGTGGTCATTCTCTGTCCCATCCTCTCCCCAGAGGGAGATTAGCATGTGCAGTGTGTAGAAGGTTATTTTATTGTGTTTATTTTTAAATAGTGGCTTGCACTTGGAAAGGAAGGCGGTGAGGTTTGTGATGGCTCTTAGGTCCTGCGGGAGTTCATTCCACACTCTGGGATCGGCACCTCAGGAAACTTTGTCTGGCACAGATGAGTTTTACTCTTGTAGTAGAAAGTTCCCTCATGCCAATGGAGCAAATAGGTCAATCATGATTCTCATCAGAGAGTTTTACACAGATTTCTCTTGACACTTTCATAATAAATAAGATGTATTTTAAAAAGTGGAGACCCAAACCCTACTGAGTTTCTTGTATCCTATGTCAAGTTCAATGTCTAATCCAAAACCTGATTAGATTCTGGTTTCAATAGGCATTTAGGAATGAATCAATGATATGGTAGGACAGAACTGTGCTGTCACTTTATTACATACACATAGACAAAGATCTAGGCACATAGATCACTTTTTAAATTAACCTGCTAGGTGGTGCTATAGGACATGCTGTAAGCTATTCATTCCATTAGAAATTACATTTTCAGTTTACAGGAAAAGAAATAGATTTCTAGATAGCCTATTTCCCCATCCTCAAATCTATAATTTTCTGGACAAATCCTTGCTGATTGATACTATGTATCAGTTGAAATGTTGGTTCTTGTTAAAGAGTGAGCTGTAAACGTGTTTGACCTTTTGGTCATTAACTTCAGCTTCTGTTGAAGAGTTTGTTCCCTTACGTTGCTTCTTTGACTGTATGATCACCCGGGTAAGGATGGTTAGTTCAGTGATTCTTTATGAGTTTGAAGTTGATCCATGGCAACAATCCATAAAGATCCCAAGCCTGATTCTTGGCTCTGTTCTATGAGA